TAAAACTTTCAAATGTCATTGTTGAATCAAAAAGACCTCATCAGTCGTTATCAGTCCCATAAATAGCTCCATCAGGTGGGGCATTCTGTGTACTAGCAGAGCGTTATCACCTCATTTGATGAAGGATGTTCCTCGCTGCTGAATGGAAGTAGTAATCCTCGCAAGACTAGAGGGCGAGAGGAAGCTTAATCCACTCAACAAGAGTTTAAGTCTTGTATTTTTTGATTTAACGTTACGTTAAAAGGTTTCTTTCAATTTCATGAGCTATTTTGGTTAACTTTAGGCAGCAAGTTTATGCAGTTAAGTTTAGCCATGAAAGGTAAAGGTTAGAAAGGATTATAACTTGGGTTTAAATGCCTCCTGTGAGAAAAGAAGTACATATTACAGTTATTAATCGGTATGTCTCTCTGCTCATCACTGATTAAAATGGATAGTAACAGCTTACTGTGCTGGCCTACTGGTAATATGAATGATTAAAACAAGTCTATACTGAGCAAATCAGCTGGTAAACTGATGAATGACTAAATAAAACAAAGGAAGAAATAAAGTCTCAGGGGGCAAACGGCACCTTTATTTAATTCCACCTGCATGACAAGTATTCCAGTGCCTACAACTGGCACATTTAGCATGATGGAGAAACTGGTATGTTGTCTGTGTGCGTCATTGTTTATGTAGTTGTCATGGCCAAATCGTGTCCTCATGAAAGATCAAAAGGCAGGAAGGCCTTTCAAAAGTCTGAGTCCTTCGGATGCCACATTTGGATTTTTGCTTGTCTTTACTGTCCATCACTTTGCTTTCTGAGTTCTCTCCATTCACAAGGATCGATATTAACGGTTGCCCAGTTGCCCCAGGCAACCAGATTTGGACCACTGTCAATCATTTTGTTTGGTCTGATCGGCCCTGCTGGCAGTCGCTTTTCCTGTTATTAAACAGATTCTCTGTGTCCACATCATCCCGAAACACAAGGTCTAGATGATGTGGACATGACATTGATCACAACATCTCTAGAATGCAATTATAAATATTATAACATTATGACAATTATTATTATATGAGATTCAAGGTCATCATTGAATCAATGTCACGATTCCAAATAAGAGCACGAGTCCTTGTTTAATTTCATTTCATTTTATTAATTATTAACTTGCTATCTGGGCTCTTTAGGAATTCAAAAGGCAGGCTCAATCCTATTTCTCCCTAGAAGTGATTTTAGTGGTGCTATCTCAGTTTTGCTTGTTAGCATGCCAACACTTACTAAATAACATAAAAGTTAGTGCTATTTCATCATAAACACTTGAACACCATGCATAAACAGAGTGTGCACAGTGATGTTAATACAACAGGTGCTGTTGATTTTTTGTTTGTGTAATCAATGTCTGGACCTGTACTTTATATATTTTTATGTCCATGCACGCAGATGTCTGTAAGGATCTCTGTGAACAGGTCTGGGATGACCCAACTTTCCTTTTGCAAATTATTACTAAGAGTTATGGTTATAACTCAGACACCAGGCAGCAGTTTTCACAGTGGAAGACCTTTCAGTGTCCAAGGCCAAAGAAGGGAAGATTGGTCAGCAGTGTAACTATGAACATGCTCCTTGTTTTCTCTGAAAATTTTTCTCTTGCACATTCTTTCACAGGGGTCAGATTCTCAATGCTGAATCCTGTTGTAATATTCTAAGTGAGAACATTTGGTGCAAACAACCTGAGCTGTGGTGTGATCACAGTCGGGTGCCCCTTCATTGCAGAGTATGCATGACAGAGAGTACTTTGGCCACACCAACACAACCATCACTTTGTCTTCTTTATTCTGAAATTTAATTTAAAGGATAACTATTTTGACTCAGTGGGGTGTTGCAGATGGTACTTGACTTGCTCACAAAACAGGACCTTCAGGGATGGTTTCAAGTATTGCAAGAGTGGTAAAAGGAATCTATTGCTGTACAAAGAGGCTACTTACAAGAAGATGAAGGGCAAATTAAGATCAGGAAAGATTACATACAAACTAAACTGTTAGTTTGTATGGGTATGAAAAGGTCTAACTGATAACGTGACATTTTTACCTGATGACAGTCCTTGAGAAAGTCTGGTGATCACCCAAGTCATTAAAGTTTACCATCTGGGAACCATGAATATCTGCATCAAGCTTTTTATCAGTGATATGTAGCAATATTTCAGTAGCGCAAAGATTAACATGCTGGTGGTGCTAAAAGTCAAGTGGCCAGCAAAATGGACAGACTTCAACTGCATCATTTCACTTTGCAATGAAATAATGACAAGCTAGCAGATGAACATACAGACCAGCAATCGCCAAAGGCAAGATTAAAATTAATTAGACCACAATTTCTAATGTAGCGCCAAAACCTACAGTAACGCTAAAAATATTATGATATTGAAGAGTCACACATCAACTTTAGGAAGTGGATTAATCAGAAACTTGTGTACATTTGAACTACATAGCAATTAAATAATATAATCAAATTCTCCACTGTTATCCGCCAGCTTCTATCAGATCTGAAAGTCAAACTTCTTGATATGCAAAAGGAAATTTTTCACATACAGTATTTCATAGATTCATAATAACCTGTAACACCTTTTAGTACAACTTTGATATTTTTAATCTAGGAAACGCACTTCTTTGATAAGCTTTAATTAAAGATCATTGAGACGAAAAGAAAAATAAATCTGTAATATCAGATTCCACACGTCCAACAACCTGTGCAGCAATGAAACGTATGTGATTCTTTTTTTAATCTGGTGGTCATCAAAATACAGCGAGCACATCAAGCCTCTCTTTTTAATCAAATGCCAACATCTGTATGTCTCTGTTAATTATCAACGTGTATCTTTTCACTGATGCATATGGTCCATGAGAACGGAGCAGGAAGATTACAGTACAGATTCAGAATGTAGTAAAAGTCATCACAACACCTGGTGCTACCGTTGGTGATACATATTTCTTTGAAAACAGTTGTCCTTAAAGTTAAAATTAATAACTATTTGTTTAATGAAGTTGGGAATAGTTAGATAAAGTTAAACATCTCTATTAAAATTATACAAAAAAATATGTAACAGCTGTTGTTTATTGTAGTCACGAGGGTGATTGACACATAGCAAACAGAGTATTCTATAGCTTTTATTATGTGGACTTTAAATGACAGCACATGAATATATGCATGGATATTAAGTTGCAAATGAAGGTTCCCAACTTTTCAGAGAGTGATTGGTAGCTGTTGCACAATAATAACTATCTGAATGAAATAAATTATGCAAGAAACAGCGTCTACAATCAGCCAACAAGTCAAAGACGACTTTGCAAATTTGCATGAATCCTCTTTACGGGAACAACAAAGGGACATGAGTTTAAACAAAATGTTTGACAATTGGGAAAAAAAATGTTAAATGTTAGAGTTAGCTAACATGTAGCAGTGCAAAGCCACACTAGCCAACAGCTCATAGGAGAGTGAACTTACATTAACAAGAAAAACATAAATGCTAAATAGACATGAAAACTCCACTGGTAAGATTATTCTTTGTCTGATAGGAGGTTACTCTTTTACACCTTTGTAAGATAAAAAAAAATGTGTGCACAATCAATAGCAATACAAAGAAATCATACCTTCAAAACCTTAAGCAGTACTTTGACATATAATATATTACATTGTTTTAAAAAAGTCATCTTGTACTTGAGGATATTTTTATTCTGTGATTGTGACTTGGGTTGATTGGTTAACCTTGTTCATCACATAAACCCATGTGTTTGGATGTCAGTGACCAAAGAAACATGACTTTAAAATAGCCATTGTAAATAGCTAATAAATGATTATAAATACATAATAATACAATTTCAACTATAACTGTATAATTATTCCATGTTAATAAACAATTAATTGATTTCATTGTTTGTTAACTAGTTTATAGACCACTGGACTCTTTCTGATGTTTGCTGAAATTCTGAAGCTGAAGTTTATAAAAATTAGCATAGTAGTTATAAATGTTATGAATATTTTTAATTAATTCAAATATTTATACTATTTATATCATAAATATTATTATGAAGATTATAGCGATTAAGATGTAATATTTGATTTAAGGAAACGTAAGACTAGGCAGGGTGGAGGTACTTGTGGTTTATGTTTGCTTTTTAATTTTGTTAGCACCTTTTCTCTGCTTTTACTTTCTCTGGATTTTTGGTTTGGCTTAGGCACAGAGAGTGTTTGAGCAGGTTTAAGAGCAACACAGTGGTTGGTATAAGTGCACAAAAACAAACACAAACTAACGACATAAACATACATTTTAACATTACTAATTATTTGAAAAAATTAATACATTAAAAGAACTATTTACAAAAAATAATCAGCTATCAGCTTGCCATTTATTAACAATGGTTATTACAAAATGTTTAATGATGGTTACAAAACTATGGTGATGTCAACTTCCTCCTCTTTTTACAGCATAAGTGACTGAGATCAAAAGTCACATCCAACTCCAAAAAGTCACTTTAGAACACTAGGTTTAGGTTGTGCTCACTTTTCAACACTGGCATTTAAACCCCTCATTTGCATATTCAAATCCCCCCCCCCCCTTTTTTTTGTTTAGGGCCACATTAGAACAATCCTCTATAATCTTTATTATCCAGTGGGTAGGACATGTGGGCAAAAAGGCATAAGGTGGGTACTGGCGACATGCTACATGTTATTCTGGAGACATTTACCAAAAGCACCAATGGCTTTAGTGCGCTTTAGGTCTCTCCTTCAGGCCACGTTCCACAGTTAATATGTAAAAGTCCACAACCACAAGTAAAGATTTTGGTGCTTAAACCTCGCATCTCTAGAGCTGAACATCCTCTACTACTGATACCAAATCAAACTCAGAGTTTGCTCTGTTTTGCCTAAATATATTTACTGCTTTGTCTCAATCAAAAAACAAAAAAGAAGCAATAAAGATGACTGAAACTGACACACTGGTTGAATAAAAGAAGACATTTACATTGGGACTGACCTGATGGCAGTGTGGGTTGGACTCTCTGCCATATGAGTACAAACTCCTCTCTGTTTTACCTGGAAGAGGAAGAAGAAAGGGCAGTTAGGCAGTTAGCAAAAGCAAGCAGCTTAACAAAGACTGATCTTTATAACTACAGGAAGGAAAAAACAATTACTGGTGTGGAAATTATTCAGCTTTAACAGATCAATCAACTCCAAAGACATGTTAACACAATAACACTACACAGCGTCGGTACAATCAGGTCCAGGCAAAGTTGCCCTTTGTCACATGCTCTCACCATCACCAACAACAGGGACATATTTCCCCGGAACATCAAAACTGTGCTATAGTTTTTCATCTATTAATTTAAAGGATAATTCATTCACAAGGAGCCACAGAAAAAATAACTTTTTGTAGAAACAGCCAAAGCCAGTTTTCCTGATCACAGACAGTGTGTGTGCTTTGTGTGTTTTCTGCTCGCTGATCTCTCTGCACAACAAAACGTACATCTGCTATGCCTGCAATGCATAGATCCGCATACAGAAAGGCAAGGGCTTTGTGCCACAAAAACAAAATCAACGCTTTCATTCTCCACTTTCTTTTAGGTGTAGATTTAGTTTCTTTGCATGAGAAAAAAAATTGAGTGTTCAGCTGAACAGAAAAATTAAAAAGCAACCTGCCTCACGGAGAAAACTGAACTCTCCTAGTGAATTTACGAGTAAAGATGTTTATAGTACATCGCCAACTCTAATGGTTTGCCATATATGGTATTATTCTGCTCTTTCCCATCTTTGTCCCTTTGGAGAGTGATGTTCCATAGAGACTAATTAGTGCACTCGCTAGGCAACCAATTCTACTGAAGAAAATAGTCAGTTCTTGCGCAGTTGCATACTACTGTGTTCAGGCTATGCAGACTATTTTCTGCATTCCATTGTGGGATTTTTGAAGGCAGCAAATAATGGATGAATTTTACACTTAGAGTTCAGTCTCCAAAGTTATTGACAATGATGTGATTTTGGGAAAAAATAAGCATTTCTAAACGACTTTACAGTAAGTATCAACCAACAGCCACCAGGCAACTTGGAATGAAGCTGAAAACCAAGACTCTGTAATCAGCATATAGAACTGCAGTATGGGATTTGGTGACACAAATACATTCAAAATCATGCTTTATGTACATTTTCTAGAAAATGAAGATAATCCAGTTTCAATGGTCCATTGTGTGTGAATTTTTTCACCATTTTGCTTCCACACTATATCTCCCCCACAAACTAGTGGAAAGTCACATTTTGTTGTACGGTATGTGTGTGCCCACTTTGTCTTTTGAACATTTAAATATTTGTCTTGATGTAAGTGCTTATCTAGGAATTTTTATCTGTTACTTAAACATTTTTACATGTAAGCAGTGTTTCACAATTAGAAAGAAAAAAGATTTAACACTGCATACGTGCAATTATTGTTTTCCCAAAATAAGGATTTTTCCCTCAAAAAACACTAAATTTCCACTTCAGCAGTTAGAGAAAATTTATGTTCATATTGTATTATAGCATTCAGAGAAATATTTATAGAACATTTTATTTCTTCAAAATTGTAAAAAAATAAAAAAATATTACACGTTGGCAGTAGTTTCAAATTAATGAAGTTACAAAAAGAGATATATTGATAAAAAATACATTGATTCTAATGTGCCAGCAAAATGCTCATTTTGAACCTGGCTTTAAAGAATCTGCAGTTTTCTGTTCTACAAATTGGTTCTCATTAGGGTTTACATAGTGAAATTTTGGAAAACATGTAATACATGTAATAATGATGCTCTTAATTTAAATAACCAGCCAGAGAAATTCAACCTGTCTCTGCTTAACCTGGCAACAGCCTACTGCTACTGCAATACTACATTAAAGGACATTTCCATCAAAGATGTTGGAACCACACTGTGAAGATTTAACAAAGCCCTGTAGGAAAAGTTGCATACTACAAAATTTAGGGTTTGTGCGATTAATTTAGCATTTAATATTATGCCAAATGTATGACATAATTCTCCATGATTATCACTTAATATTAAAGCTCCATTTATTGAAAGTTTGGCTAAACTCCAACATTCGACATATCTCTTGAAAACCTTGCAAGGCATCATGTTCATGTAACTCTCTTCAGGAACTCAAATTTCTTGGTTAAAGTTTTACTGCAAAATACTTTTTATTTTCCTTTAATTTCATTTATAAACAGTACAGAAACTATGATTTCTGTTCCCGTTGTTGGACTTGAAGGTCCTTAATGCCCAAGGCAACATCTGATACAGATTTAATAGATGTAAGAAGAAAACAACACCCTCACCTACCCATTAGTTTTTATAGAACATCTTCGGTCAAATGTGTTGAAACATGTTTGATTGAAATCAGACATCAGAGCTCTTTGAATGCAGGCCAAGGATTGATCAGTACACGACAAGAAGGTGAAGCCTCGTTGGCAGGTAACCGACCATCACTTTAATACACAAACTGAGCGTGCCTGGCTGTGAAAAAGGTGCCTGATGAATTTCGAAAAATGCACCGCTGCGTGTAGACAACAAAGCTAATTTCCTCTCCAGCTTCTGAACAGGCTTTCCTCCCCTCTGAGCTGCGGGACCACTCCGGTGCCTATTTTTACCACGCAGACCTTCTTTTTGGATAAAACCTTAAATCTTGAGCCAGTCTAAATATCAAACCACAGTTAGTGTGTAATTACATTCTGCTGTCAGTGCAGTCGTAGAGATGAAATGGAGGGGTTTTACTGCAAGCGTGTGTGGAGGAAAATGAAGCGTGTACGTAGTGAAGGGTTGGAATCAGGCGTGTATAGACCAGCGCTGAATACGCGCCAACATGGTAGTCGATGCAGAAGAGGTTGATAATTACAGGCGTACAGAATAGGAATGTGGTCGACTGTGTGTGTGTGTGTGTGTGTG